CTCTATATCCGTGTCGTCGTTCAGCCACGACTCGGTGAAACATAAGATATTACAGTTTTTAATGTCCCGTTGGTAGGATAGTCTTGACCGTAGATCATTGAGTTTGTTTTCCAGTGATTGCACGTTGGCCAATAGAACCGATGGTAGTGGCGATTTACTCACTCGCCTACGAATCCTAACAAGGCACCCCGACCTTCTCCCTCTGTATCTCCAGCTTTCCTTCACGCAAATGACAGGGATTTGGGCCTGGTCTCTTGAGAGCAGTATATCCTTCGCGTCGGACTCATTAAAGAAAAAATCTTTGTCCAGTTCGAGATGAGTAATCACTGTTCTGATGTCCAGAAGCTCTTTTCGGTCATAAGAGACGGTAGCAGCAACTTTATGTACAAAATAATTTACAAACAATGCAAAAAGAGCTAACAAAATAGCACAGTTGGTTAGGAGCCCGTAAAACAGCAGCCATCCCCCCGTAAAACAGCAGCCATTGTATCACCTTTTAGCAAGTCGGACATTTCTGAGTTTCCTACGCATAAAAAAGGTTGGATGGAAACCTGGTTAGTGTTAATTTCATTAACGAAAAGTGACAAATAGTCATCAAACACCTATTTTTCAGTGGCAATTGAGATGATAACTGACTAAATCGACCCAGAAAAAAACAATAACTAAACATTTACATTTTAGTAATTTAGCAGACGCTCTGGATAAGAGTGACTTACAGGAGCAATTAAAGGTTAAGTACCTTGCTCAAGGGCACATCGACTGATTTTTCACCAGAGATGAGAGAGAGGGCTAATGGCTGAAAGTTATAGCATGTTGGTTGTTGCTAAGACATGTGGTATGTACTGTGTAGTTGTTGCTGTGAGAGCTGATTGTAATGTTTTGTGTTAGTTTGTTGTTCAGAGAGTTTCTTTAATGTCCTGAGTTAGTTGTTTTTCTCTAGTTTTGTTGTGAACCAGTTTGTGTTATTTTGTTTAATTTGTTCCCAAGGGGGGAAGGCACCTAGGGAGTGCTTAGGCAAGAGGCCCGCAGGCATACATTACCCGTAGAAGTTAATTGTCTATGCACACTAGGAAAGACCTTGGCGGACCATCCCCTGTATTTTGGTTAGTGCACTAGCAGGTGGTGCTAGTTAAGTAAGTAGTGGGTAGACAGGTAAGGTTGGAGAGGGGGCTTTGATATTTACTTTCTTTGCTTTGTTCTGTCCAGACCCTTTTCCCCAAACTTACCGTGCGAAGGAATACATTCCCTGTTAACGGTATTCTCTGCCTTTTGTCATCCTTACTCACACCTACAGTCCCATACCTCTTTCACACCACGGAGAGTTGAGTTGAAGCAGGGTGTTGCGTTCCCTCTTCCGAGAGGAGTGCGTAACACTGCTAGACTAAAATTATTTTTCATTTCCTTTGACAAAAACGAGAGAGACGAAATCATCTGACTAAAATCTGACTAGTACATGAACTGTCTGGACAATAGTTTTTGGAGAGATTGAGAGCTTTTCAGTGTTATTTGTTTGGTCGAATCAAAAGCATAGAGGACATTAGCAGAATTGTAAGGCTTTCTCATTCCAATGTTGCAATGCTGTTATAGGTGAAAAATAAATACATACCATGCCCCGGTCATTCACTAGTCACCTCTCTGCCTGGCAACCGTTCTCCAATCTGGCGGCAACAAATCATTGATGCAAATAAGGCACACGCCATGGCTACTCTCGCGGTGGTACAAGCTGCCGGTAGAAAAAGGGGCGACGTTTGGAGCCACTTTACTTATCGTGTCGATTCAAACAAGACCGAATGCAACGTTTCCACGGGAGAAGACAGCGTTTGCACCCACAAGTTGACGGGGGAAAATACTACCAACCTCAAGAGACATCTGAAAGCGCATCATCCCAGTATATACAGTCAGGTAATGACAGATTAAACGCTAGATAGTTAGTTTACTGCAACCTATCAGACCACTACTTATGACAAAACTTTGATTACAATAACTCAAGTAGGTTAAGGGGTGTGATGAAAAAAAAATCTGCTGCAGAGTAATGTGTTCTTCTGCCAATTTGACTGTTGGGAGGAGAATCATGATAGGACGTTATGCTGAAAAATGTGTTAGTAGGACAAGCTAGGTATGTTTGTGCACATGGAAGTCAGTGATTTAGATTTAATATAGGTTAACCTAACGTATAATCAGAAAGGTAAATTAGGTTGAATTAGCTGTATCCCTGAAAACATCTGGTTGATGGCAACTCCGCTAAGGGTGACTATAGGTTAATTGGGCAATAAAAAGGTGATGTGACTAAAATGAAAGTGGATTTAGTTGACTAAAATGGCCCACTGTCATTTTTACAATAACTGGACTAAATCATTAGTCAGATGACAAATGTGACTAAGACTTCATGATATGTTAGTCAAAATGACTAAGACTAGACTAAGACCTAGATTCAATCAGATCAAGCATTAACCGGTGATAGCTGACACACTCATAGCTGATGTTTTGGCGGTGTCGGATGTGTAACTGCGTTGGAGCTGTACAATTGGTGAGCAGCTGCTCTTGATGATTGTCACGAAGCCACACCTGTTAGAAGTTCAGAACAAGAAGGTGTAGGCTATATAGTAATAATGACGCTCAAATTGAAAATCATTAAACTAAATGAAGATTTATATCAGCCTAATCGAGGTGTAGATTACATCTCACATTCCAGTGTTCGAAGGTGTAAACAAGGCTGCTTCATAGAGTATGATAGAGGCCTCTAGTGGCCAAAACGCCATATTAGAATGAGTAGCGACATTGAAGGGGTGACTTCCTACTTCATTAGCTGAATCCCTCCTGATGATCAGGAGGGATCAGCCAGTTGTGAATAAGAAAATTGACTACTTCAAAATGGAGAGCCTTAATGCTGTCAGACACTATAATGGCACAGATACAAAGATGAGTCCTCTATCTACCTCTATGGGCTGCATGGGATTTCTCCTAATGCGACTCAGTGCAGCCAATGGCATTGTCCACTTTAGGTATAACGCCAGGAGCCGCTTGTGGATTTGACAGCTCTGACACCGCCAAAACAACCGCTATGCGGATATCGCCTAAAGCGAATCTGATTGAATAGAGCCTTATGGGCTGGATTATAATCTTATCGCCTAAATATCGCGAAGATCCGGGTTAACATTTAAAGGTAATTTCCGATTGAGCCGACATGTGCTGTGTTTGCCCGTGAATGCAGTCTCCTTGACCATGGGAACATTGCCAAATTTGCTATTTTACATTTTAGTCATCCAGAGTGAGTGTCATTTTAGTCATACTTATCCAGAGTGAGTGCATACATTATATTTTTTTATACTGGCCCCCCGTGGGAATCGAACCCACAACCCTGGCATTGCAAACGCCATGCTCTACCAACATCCCTGCCGGCAATTCCCTCCCCTACCCTGGACGGCGCTGGGCCAATTGTGCGCCGCCCCATGGGTCTCCCGGTCGCGGCCGGCTACGACAGAGATTCGAACCAGGATCACCACTGCGCCACTCGGGAGGCTATGAAGCAGATCTTCAGCGCTACGGGTTGAATAGAGCCCTAGCTCTCAAACTCTAGGCAGTATTGTGCCTTCTCCCGATTTACATTTACGTCTAGTCTGAGACCAGGCTGTCTTCCTACAGTTTTCTGCTGTTAGATTCGCCCACAACTGCCTCATGTGAACTACAATCCCAAATCAAATCAAATGTTATTGGCCACATGCGCCGAATACAACAGGTGCAGACATTACAGTGAAATGCTTACTTACAGCCCTTAACCAACAGTGCATTTATTTCTAATAAAAAAGTAAAATAAAACAACAAAAAGTGTTGAGAAAAAAAGAGCAGAAGTAAAATAAAATAACAGTAGGGAGGCTATATACAGGGGGGTACTGGTGCAGAGTCAATGTGCGGGGGCACCGGCTAGTTGAGGTAGTTGAAGTAATATGTACATGTGGGTAGAGTTAAAGTGACTATGCATAAATAGTTAACAGAGTAGCAGCAGCGTAAAAATATGGGGTGGGGGGGGCAGTGCAAATAGTCCGGGTAGCCATGATTAGCTGTTTAGGAGTCTTATGGCTTGGGGGTAGAAGCTGTTGAGAAGCCTTTTGGACCTAGACTTGGCACTCCGGTACCGCTTGCCGTGCGGTAGCAGAGAGAACAGTCTATGACTAGGGTGGCTGGAGTCTGAGAATTTTGAGGGCCTTCTTCTGACACCGCCTGTTATAGAGGTCCTGGATGTACTGGGGCCAAGCGGTGTTTTAACGTTTAGAAACGTCAATAATCGTTGCTTGCGATACAGCTTTCGATACATATGGACTTATAGCGAGAACGAATCCTTCAAATAAAAAATATACACTTACTGTAGCAGTTTTGCACAGATCCATACAGTTATGGGTGCCTCCATCCAACGAAACTGCACTTCCAGAGTAGGCATTCAGGGCACGCTAGATAGATAATTAGCACAGCCTCTGTTTTCTGTAAACAAGTGCTGTAACATGGAGATATGTCCGTGTGGGAACACTAACCCTATAAATGTGTATCAATTTAACTTTTTTTTTTCTAGCTGATATGAAAGATAAGGTCCTTGTGTTTCCAAAACTGTACCACAAACGATGCATGTTAATGTTCAGACCGAGCATCAGGGCTCTTAACAAAACTCCCCCCTACAAAATACGCCGTTATCCAATGATTCGTGTAATGTAATGCAACTGAGTCTTGGTCAACGGCTAATATAACCCTAGATCAACAAAAAAAAGTGCTAAAATGAACACTGTAAAGTGTGTGTGTTGCATCTTATCGGGTTTCCTAATAATATAATATTTTGTATTGCTTGTAAATGTCATTCTAGACTGCATATAGGAGAAGCCTACAGCTAAACTATTCTTTGCTACGGTAGTTTGCAGCCAGCCTACATCCCAAGCAGCGCGCATTGACACAGTGAAGACTAACCATAGGACAACCCTACCCGCACAGCCCAGCCAGAGAAGACCGAAAAAAAAATGGAAAGCAAAAAGCATACCACGGAAAACCAGAACTTGACCCAAAAGATCAAAAATAAGGAGCTCAGAATCGTGAAAAACAGAGCACGAGTCAAATCAAATGTATGGGATCATTTTGGAGTAATCGTTAACGCTGACAAACAGCATGTGGAAGGATTCGCAGCATGTAAAAAGTGCAAGCGGGTGTTAGCCTATGATAGCCATAGAACAGGCACTTCCAGCTTGAAAAAACACATTGAGAAATGCACGGTAAGACGTCTATTAATTGCACAGTAGCCAATTGTAATGCAAAACAAGAAGCTTAAAATGCGCGGCAGGAAGGACAAAGATGGTTAGCTCGGGTTGTGGCGGTCGGTTAAATTCCACATGGTTCGGGTTGAGGTAGCAGTCTTTCCTAATGGCGGTTTGCAGTCGGGTCCAACAGATCCGTTTGTGCGGTTATGATTTTTTTGGGGGGGGCTCAAATTGGACTCTGTGGCAGACACATACAGTATTAGTTTATGTGCGTGTGATAATTGAAATAATATGCGTGCTGTTGTGAAGCAGGATGCTTGATTTATTGTCAAATGTTGCTTTTGTATGTGTCGGCTATGTGAAGTGGTGAAGACGTTCGCCTTTAATGCCTGCACATGCGCAATGAAATATCTGATTCCAGACGGCTACCAAAGACCGTACACTGTGCTGCTAAATACGTGCATTCGAGGTAGCTTAAAATATCCTTCCATTACACTCTAAGAACCAGCAGTTGTGAGATATGGAATGTAGAAGCAGAGACCGTAAAAAATATAGGAGTCACACATGGAGATATTTCAATGAAATCTCTTCGGAAAGTGTGACATGCAAGCTGTGTGCGGCTGTTCTGAAGCGGACGAGCGGTAGCACAACATCCATGTTGAACCATTTAGAAAGGATCCATCATCTGTCGCTAAGACATATCAAAACGCAGCGAGAGCGGATTTCTACCGTTAGAGGTAAGAGTCCTGTAAGTGTTTTTATTTAATTCTTAGGTAGGCTACTACAGCAAACTCGTGTGATATCTGGACTGGTCACAAAGACAAGTTTCTCTTCTACCTCCGCTTGTAGGCCTACCGTAATTACTCCTCATGAGGTTGCCATAAATTCCGAATGCGTCACATTTGTTTTGCCCACAAATGCAGTTAATACGGTAAATTGGCGATGTTTGGTCACTCGAGAGGAAAAGGCGAAGCATTTACTCCGCCCAAAATCTGTCCACGAAAATAAGACAACGAAGTGAGGAATTTTTGTATGGAGGTCAATGAGTGTCGAATTTGGTCAACAAAAATTGCCTGCTACGTGAGGCTTATTTGATCGAAACGAAGTTTAGTATTGGTTAGGTTGTTACGAATGCACTGATAAGTGGACGCACGTGGCAGTTTTTTCCAAATTGGCCATTATCGGAGGTTTGCCTTTTATCACACGCGTATCTGCCCTTTCATTTGCTAGAATGGACCCACCTGATCTCGTCTCCTCTCGCCGGCATTCCATGTTTGAGGACATTTATTTCCATTGTTATAGCGGTCACTCGACTATCTCGTCAATATAATAGATAATCTTTGGTCAGTCACACCAGAGAGGAAGAGGCGAAGCGAGAGGTTTTATTCCCGTCAAAATCTGTCCGCGGGAATTCAGCGATAAACCGACTGCATTCCCGCCTTTGGGACAACGACTCCCATTGTTAGGGCGGAGACAAAACCATCTCGTCATTATATACAGTATCTGCGCTCACACTCACGCAGCTCTTTTGGTGAAGGTAACAGTAGGCTGCTCTGCTGTTTTGGTCAGTCATATAGATTATCTGGTTTGGTTGTTTATTTGTTCCATTCATTCACAAAATGTCTACACCAAGTTCACCCAGCTTTGGTTCAGCTGTGTGGCACAGCTTCGACAGAATAGAAGCTGCACTGGCAAAATGTAAACACTGCGACCGGAATATCAGATGTAAAGGAGGTAGCACCAGTGGCATGAAAAGGCATTTAGAGTCTCGGCATCAGGTAAACTGGACCTCGGAAAAGGACTAACGTTACCAGAACAAATTTGAGACCTCCGTCTTTTCTGACACTGTGCTGGTAACCAGACAAAAGCAATGGAGCTATAGATATTGGAGCGCCCAAGAGACAGTAGGTATTAAAATGAGTCAGCACTAAATAGCTATAAACCTGCTGATGTGACGAGTTATATTTCACACGATCAATGAAGAACTTGGAGTTATATTACGTTGATTCAATGATCATGCGCACATTTCCGTTACATGGATTTGCGGATATCCGCTTGTATGCCAGCCTAAAAAAAATACATATATTGTGGTAGCTAACCAGGAATTCTTATCGATTTGACGTTGTGTTAAAACCGCGCTCGAAATAGTGTTTTTTAACACGCACGTAGAAGCCTGCTAATTTGGCTAGTGCAGCAGAGATCTAAAGGAAAGGTTTTGACTCTGGAGATAAAATCTGTCATAGCATAAAACGGAAGCGATGGGACGTGCTAAAAGTAGTACAGCTTGGATGTATTTCACCAGAAAAGGCATTGATATACAGTGATCCCTCGCCACTTCGCGGTTCACTTATCGCGGATTCGCTATTTCGCGGATTTTCATAATGCATTTTTTTTTTTTTGGTGCATTGTGCTCTGCATTCTGATTCGCTAAAAACTCACTCCCGCTTCTTGTATCAAAACATGCTACGAATTGTGCTATCATTTTGTCGTCTCGTGCAGTTATGTGTACGTACATAAAACAGCTTGGCAAATTTACATTAAGTTGGCCAAATTATCTTGTAATTTCGAACATCTCCTAAACCCATAATGTCGACGAAACGGCCTGGACCGACAAAAGCACCTGCGGATGGGCCCAAACGGCGGAAGATGCTACCTATCTCAGATAAAGTTAAACTTCTGGACATGCTAAGGGAAGGTAAAAGCTATGCAGCCGTTGCTCGCCATTACGGAATCAATGAATCTTCCGTTCGTTACATAAAGAAGGAGGAAAAAAACATAAGGACGACAGCAGCAGTCAATTTTAATACGAATGCAAAAAGGGTTGTAACTGTCCGCAACAAGACCATGGTACGGATGGAGACGGCATTAGCTCTGTGGACTAATGACTGCAGGAAAAAAAACATAACCCTGGATACAAACGTTATCTGCACAAAAGCGAGAATGCTGTATGAAAACTTTGCTGTCAGTGACGGGGAAGAGGGAGAGGATGCCGGGCCCTCAGCAAGTGCTGCTGACACAGTGGGAGAGGATGCCAGGCCCCCAGCAAGTGCTGCTGACAAAGTGCCAAGCGCATTTAATGCAAGCAAGGGCTGGTTTGAAAAGTTTAAGAAACGCTTTGGACTTAAAAATGTTTGTCTGCACGGTGAGATGGCGTCTGCGGATACCGCTGAGGCAGAAGCCTTCGTGAACAATAAATTCAAGGCGATCATTGAGGAGGTATATGTATGTATATGTCGGCTATGCAAAGCAGTACTCCGATACAACAACGGCAGCATGTTAAACCACATAAAATACAAGCACCCAGCCATCGTAGCAGAAGCTCTAGATGGTAAATCAAAAACGACCATTGGGGTAAAGTAGAGAGCTATTATTATCCACCACATGTTATTTTGTCCCTCGAATATTAGTACCTTTATTGGCATACCCGTAAAACTTAAATTAAACGCTGTCTCAAATAGCCGCCTAGCTGTCCCTTTTAATGGTCGCCATACCCTAGTTCAACATCAACCATTTAAAATAGGCTACTAAAATGATTCCAATCCCGATTTAAAAGGCAAATGCAGTTTAGCGGTATTATTGGGCAGACTTTAGGACCATGTGGACGCCTGGAAGCATGAGGCAAGGCTGTAAAGCTAGCTGGGTTAGCTGACAACGACACAAACGATGCGGCGATTCAATGGGCAGAAGTCCGTGTTTTGTGATTCTGGATGGCCAGATAGCTAGCAAAAATGACAAGCTGCCATGTGGGGAATCATAGGTTGCTAGTTTTATCTCATTCTTGATACCATGGCATGTCTTGTTTTGACTGATGTAATGCCTATGCTAATATGTCAAAAATTCGCTAGCTAGCTAACCAACAACTGTAACGATGTAGTTGAGACAAGTGCTCATTGTGCAAATGTATTTGTTTTCAATAAACATTGGAGACGAAATGTAGTTTACATGTTGTCAACTATTTTAGCCAACCCCTTCGATTTTGCTCTATAGTTACTAAACAACCCTCTATGGCTGGCTGGCTGGCTTTACGGAGAGCAGTGTTGCCAACAATTTTTCAGTGAGATCAGCTATTGGCTCCTTGATTTGCCGCTAGATGACGTTTTGCCATTGCCGCGATGACGTCATACCGCCAATTTGCCTCGCTGCAGTCCCCAACGAAGCGTTTAAAGATGCCTGTAGTACATGGCTTTGGCTAGGTAACTGCTGTTTGATTTGACACGAATCTTAACTAGAGTTTTAATCCCGGTGCTGAGCTAATTCATAGCAGCTAATTCTTGTATGACCTGTTTGTAGAATGTTAAGTCCCATATTGACTGAGGTGAATGAAGCTACAGCAACAAGGTGATAATGGCTGGCGTCAATTTTGTTTGTTTCTGCTGTTCTCCACATTGCATTTGAGAGTTTAAATAGTGTAGAAATGCAGTAAATAAGCTTTAAATTTAGTTTTAGCTGAAATGTTGCTAGCCATGGCTAGTCTGGCTGACACCTAAAGCGAAGTCTTCTTCCTTGCTGTGTGGTCACGTGGGTCGTGTCAGCCAGGCTAAACCATGGCGCCACCAAAAAGAAAACACAACATCAAATTCGCAGAGTGAAATTCTGTCGAGGCAACAGCCAAGCATTTTTTTAATTGATCCAAAAGGAGTGAGATAATGGAGAAGTCGAACTTCAACGTTTGTCTAAGGTGGATCAGAAGAGGGTGAGGCTGCAAGGTGGGGGGTGGAAAAAGGTAAAAGTAAATAAACAGCAGTCTCTAATATGCGCCGGTTGTGTTCAGTGATTGAAGCAAATAAACGCCCAGGCTATTAATTGAAGTTTTACAGATAGAGTATAAAACCACCCAACAAAATCTTCAGGGACAACATGTACAGTTTTAAAGCTACAATCCTTTTTTCAAAAATCTAAAAAGCAGCTTGTTTTGGTATACATCTGGTGGGCTACGATATACTGAACAAAAATATAAATACAACATGCAACAATTTCACAGATTTTACTGAGTTATAGTTCATATAAGGAAATCAGTCAATTGAAGTAAATTCATTAGGCCCTAATCTATGGATTTCACATAAATTTTAAAAAATTAGTCATTTAGCAGATGCTCTTATCCAGAGCGACTTACACATGACTGGGCAGGAGTCACTAACAGGGTTGTAAACACATTTGTGCACAAAATTTGAGAGAAATAAGCTTTTTGTGAGTATGGAAAATTTCTGGGATCTTTTATTTCAGCTTGTGAAGCATGTGACCAACACTTTACATGTTGGGTTTTATATTTGTGTTCAGTGTATTATGCTCGCTAGTACTTTCTGCTGCATAAATTCACATGGTGAATGGAACATGACGTACCATAATGTTATTTGTTAATGGTTATGTGGTATGAATGGTTTTTCTACAGTCATTGAAGTACAACAAAAGAGAAGCTGCAATAAAGGAAGAGAAGACACTGTCCAAGAAGAACACACATGAGGATGAGGAAGATGAGCCGCACCCTAAAAGAGGGATGTCAAAGTGGGTACTTTAATTTACATTTACAAGGTTAGTCTCATTGAGATTAAACATCTATTTAGCAAGAGACCTGGCCAAAATAGCAGCACACAAAACATGTACAACATAAAGCACTACAGTTTAATAACATCAGTTTACACATTGAACAAGCACCTTGGTTTTGGGAGGAGGGGTTCAACTAGGGGTCAACACATTGACAGCCCCCCAATTCATTGTATCATGTATATTGGAAGATAAAACATTGGTAACACTTTTCTATAGGCCTACTGTATTAGATTGTCAGAGCCCATAATCAAATCTAGTCTGTTATGACAGACTAGGTTGTTACATATTTAGTTCATATGAATGTTTGATTTGAGTTCAAAATGGCCAAGCCTTTGCCAGACTACTTCAGTGTTCTAATGGTTTAACTTTGTATTTCTGTGTTCTTAACATCCCCCAGGCAAGAACCCAATACTTCACTGGTAGCCTTGACAGAAGGTTAGTTTCTGTTGTTGTATTAATAGTTTCAATCCAAGATGTCCTGTATAGTCAAATATGTCAACTTTCAGATGGTCTCATAGCAATAATATTGTGGTTATGTCTCTCACAATATACTATGTTTTTTTTTTTGCGGTAGACGGTGCTCCAGAGCAGTTTGAATTTCAGTATGGACTTGAGGGACCAACATTTAAGGATGACAACAGGGAGGTGAGTTGGTAAAGCGTTGCTCAAATGAGCAGGTGTTCTTTTACTCTTGTAGTTAGCTGCAGTTAGCACAAAACGGACTGGTACCCAGGCGATCGTTCAACTCCTTGTCATGCCAAATATGATGTTTGGCATGATGGCACAAACCGATCTGGGACCAGGCTAAGCTACAGCTCCTCATTTCTTCTACTCAAACCTCTTCCTTTTTTCCCCTGTGCAGTCCTCCAAGAGCCATCTGTCTATCATCAAAGTGGAACAGCTGGACTCCCTCCTCCCAGACCAAACCGGTGTGTGGGGGAGGGGGGTGGGACTATAGTGAATGTATGCACTAAACTGGACAATGAAGCAAGTGAAAATGATCTGCGGTAACATTTGGACTAGGATTGATTTGCCTACATATCCAATGTGCACTTATCAGGAGTCGACTCTTCTCCTTTCTGTTCCATCACCAGATTCCAGCTGTGGTTCTGGGTCACCTGGGGATTCGGGGCCTCCTGGCTCGTCTGGTTCTGGGTCCAGTACGAGTCAGGCTGCACAGTTTTTCAGGAAGTGCCACCAGGCAGGCTGTACACAGTACATCTTCTCAGAGTTCGCCTCCCGCCTCAGCACCATCACTGAGAGGATCACATCCCAGCAGGCCAGTGAGGAAGGTGAGACGGAACACCTGAGGAATAGAAGGGCACTAAATGGAATGATACATTCGACTACTGATAGATAAAATGGCTTGGTACTGTTGTCGGCCAACTTAACCGGGTCAGCTAACTAAACCGGGGCGTGCGCGTTTTCAAAGTGCATTTGTCAACTGTATTACCCATTGTAAAACTGCTCCTTGTTGGACGTGTGCTTGTAATATTACATTTTTATGTTAGTGTTAGTATAGATATTAACAAAAATTGTTTCCTGTGTCCACAGATTTCAACCTCACCCTGAAAGTGCTGGAGGCCTCTGGGATGCTGCCAGAGATCTTTGCCAAAAGAGACCAAGGTAAAGTATTTAAACATCCCCATTAATGGAAAACGCCACCCAAAAATGATATTTTGGTATTTGTTTCGTTAGTCCATTGTTGACATAGTGCCAAACTATTTTGCTTGTCAGCAATGCATTTTCAAGATGTGTAACTTTCAAAGGGGATGATTTCTGTATTTTGAAAGTTGCATATCTTGAAAAATGTATTTGGGGTCTATGTCAACAATGGACTAACGAAACAAATACCAAAATATACTTTTTGGGTGGAACTTTCCTTTAAGTACAAAATATACACTATTTTTGTGGTACATGGAATAAAGTCCCCATAAGTTAGCTCCTCATAGGAATTCTGGTTCGGAAGCACAAGTAACCTTGCCTGACACCTGAAGAATTATGTTTCCGAGCTAATGCCTAGGCTTAAGCTTGATGGGCTAACACAGTCATGTGGCATGCAGGAGACCCGCCGGGCTCGTACCCTGATCGGTCACACCCACTGGCCAGTAGGCAGACAGAGCCCAGAGAACTGCTGTCACCCTGATGCCCTGTTTCTTTCCCTTTTTTTTAGAAATGGAGAAGAGACTGAGGGAGCTGCAGAGAGAGACTGAAGCGGTGAGGACGGCCAGGTCTGCCATGAGAGATGCTTGCGTCATGAGCTTCACCTCATCATGACGGAGCACTGCTGAAGATAAAAGCGGTTTTATAAGGCGTTATAACCAGGGCCTGGAGTTTCTGACCACGTAACTGAACTAGGAAGGTATAGGACCTGGAGTTTTCCCTGGTCCAATCCCCTCGTCAGGAGAAACTCTGATCCTTCTTTTAACCGAATGTAAATATTTCAAACCTTTTGTATTTGCCATATTTTTCTACCCGTGTTCAAACTTTAACTCTGTGACATTTGACTCTATGATATTTGAAAGCAGTTTGTTTCACCCTGGCCACTGACTTGGGTGGCATGTTAAACATTAAATTAGTAATTGGTAATATAATATTTTGACAGACATTGGTTCTGAGGTTATTGGAGATGTTTTGATGTTAGTAGGTGATCCTTAGTCTCCCTCTCTGCTGTATGTATATGTTCACTAACCCTTAAGACTAAATATATCCTAATATACTGTATGTGCAAACCAGTAGATCTAATTTTCTCTTGATGGGTACTATGTCCACTGTAGTAATATAAGACAAGTTCATTATTATGAATACACTGGTAATATAGTATACTTGAGAGGAAATCTGAGAACTGTGACATTTTCTGAGAATGAATTAAACTCCTGTTATGTAAATGAGTTGTGTGATGTGATTATTTCAGATCGAAAATGTCCCGAACTTTTTTGTATAGTAAATAGTACAAGTTACAAAGTTACTGCACTGCTCATGCTCTACAGTGGAAAGGGAGGTGTATAATATAGGTGGTGAAGATTATGATTTCTCAGAATGTATTGGTATACCAGGGTTCCCCACCTGGTGGTTTTATTTGGCTCCCCAAGTGTTCTTAGCAAAAAAATTTTTTTTTTTGATTTTCATTGTTAGGCATAACACACCAGGAAATTAGCTCCAATTGCAGTTTATCGATGGAAATTTGAACGCACAGAAATACCGTGACGAGATCCTGAGGCCCATTTATTTTAAGGCGTCTGTGACCAACATATGCATATCTGTATTCCCAGTCATGTGAAATCGTAATTTATTTATTTAAAATTCACTGATTTCCTCAACTGTAATTTAGTAGAATCTTAGAAATTGATGGGTTTATATTTTTGTTCAGTATAGTTGACGATCCCTGCCATTTACTGTGGTTGGCAGTGCGCAATGCCCTCTTGCACCCCCAAGTGTACTGAAACTAAAACCACACCGAGACTTGTTTAGACAACATTTCTGAAGAAGCGAAACCGGAAGCCCAGCTAGCACGGAGGTTGGCGCGATCAATTTTCTGATTCTGGGAAGTTGTTGCTAAAGATAAAACGAACACTTGCAGAATGGGTACCGAGCAACATGGCAAGAAAGTCCAATGCGTACTTTGTCAAACGTCCGAAGAGAATCCGACAACTGGACCGCTATCGACAAAAGGTTCTGTCACCGCTCATGAAAACTGCTTGGTAAGATTTTAAAAGGCGTTATAACCAGGGCCTGGAGTTTCTGTTATTCCAGCTACGCGGGTCATTTAGCTTTGGGCGAAGATTTTGGTACTGGTAGGCTAGCAAAGATAACTTTCTTGAAGGAACTAAAACGAGTCAATCAAGTTAGAATATTAGTATTTAACAAGGTTTCCCAAACTCAGTGCACGTTTTGGTTTTTGCCCTAGCACTACACAGCTGATAAAAATAATATAATTTCAATCAGCTATGTAGTCTTACCTTGGGGTCAAGAGGACCGAGTTTGGGAAACGCTGAGCTAACAATCTGTGGTAAACCCAGTTGACAGTGTGGCCAAAGAGTTTATAAACCCAGAGGAGCAACATCGCGAGACTTCCGGGAACGCTTGCGAAACAGACCCGTTTGGGAAGTAAATTTGGTGTACTGTATTCGTAAATTCACTCTGGGGTGCGTTCGTAATTTCAGAGTATTGTCAGATTGTCCATTCGTAAATTCAACATTTCGTTCAGAGCGCACACCTTTCTCAATCCTAAAGCACAACCTAGATTCGAGCCATTGTCTTAGTTGAACATGTTGTTACTCCAACCTCGTGAAAGTGACAAACTGACACGTTTACATTCTTGTAAAACAAAAAACTTCATATCGAAGGAGTGCATTTGATTTGACGGCGTGCACATGCGCGAGACGACCGTTATGCCTTTGCTAGCCAACGTCGCAATGACATCGCCTACAAGCGTGATCGGGGTTTTCTATTGGGGAAGCCGTTTTAGCCTATCTTCATACTGTACTGTCTTTGGTGGCGCACTATAGGAGACCACTAAAGGACACCTTTACAGATAAGATAGGCTGCATGGCTTTGTGGTTTACTTTCCCATTTAAATTCTCAATGCAGTTAGCCCTAGGCAAAGGTCTTCTCTGGCCTAGGCTGGAGATGTGGGCCAGTTAGTTGGGGGTAATACTGAGCGATTAACCTTTTTTTTCCCTCTTTTTTTCGGTTATTAAACAACTAATTGAATTACTTGAACTCCATTTGAACTCCATTTAGTTAGTTTTTTTGTGATCCCAACGCGCCTGTTCTCTAGAGAGAAATCAAATCATTCACGAGAGAAATCAACTCAATAATTACATTATGTGGGACGCTGGGCTGAATGGAGTTTTCATGAAGCAAATATTCAATTTAGTTCAGCGCAAACGTGGTAATTCACTACAATGACCAAAATCCATTGCGCCTGTTTTTTTTTTTGGTTCGTCACTAGTTACCACAGCCACAAAGTCCTAAACCCCGCCTACTACATTATGTTGGATACACACAGACCACATGAGAGAGGAATGTACACAAGACAAGGACGAGACAGAGGGTTAGACAGTTCGTGAAAGTATGCCTTATCATCTTTGAAGAACTAGTCAAATGTTATTGACAGAGAGCTCTGCAGCTAGCCAAGCTGAATAGGATGACTGAAGACAGGACAGTATGGGGAGCACAGCGCTAACGTTGTCTGGCTGGCTAAAGACAGGACAGTATGGGGAGCACAGCGCTAACGTTGTCTGGCTGGCTAAAGACAGGACAGTATGGGGAGCACAGCGCTAACGTTGTCTGGCTGGCTAAAGACAGGACAGTATGGGGAGCACAGCGCTAACGTTGTCTGGCTGGCTAAAGACAGGACAGTATGGGGAGCACAGCGCTAACGTTGTCTGGCTGGCTAAAGACAGGACAGTATGGGGAGCACAGAGATAAAGTTAAAATCAAATAAGATTTGATTTGTCACGTGCCGAATACAACCGGGGAAGACCTTAACATGAAATGTTTACTTACAAGCCCTTAACCAACAATGCAGTCTTAAGAAAATAGAGTTAAGAAAATATTTACTAAATAAACTAAAGTAACACAAAAAAAAAATAACAATAACGATGCTATATATAACCTTAGGGGGTCCCGGTACCGATTCAATGTGCAGGGGTACAGGTTAGTCGAGGTAATTTGTACATGTAGGTAGGGGTAAAGTGACTATGCATAGATAATAAACAGTGAGTAGCAGCAGTGTGAAAACAAACGGGGGGGGGGGGGTCAATGTAAATAGTCCGGGTGGCCAATTGATTAATTGTTCAGCTGACTTATGGCTTGGGGGTAGAAGCTATTAAGGAGCCTTTTGGACCTAGGCTTCGTGCTCCAGTACCGCTTGCCGTTTGGTAGCAGAGAGAACAGTCTATGACTTGGGTGACTGGAGTCTTTGACAATTTATTTGGCCTTCCTGTGACACCGCCTAGTATAGAGGTCCTGGGTGGCAGGAAGCTTGGCCCCAGTGATGTACTGGGCCATACGCACTACCCTCTGTAGCGCCTTATGGTCGGATGCCGAGCAGTTGCCATACCCGGCGGTGATGCAACCGGTCAGGATGCACTCGATGGTGCAGCAGTAGAGCTTTTTGAGGATCTGGGGACCCATGCCAAGTCTTTTCAGTCTCCTGAGGGGTAATCGGCATTGTCGTGCCCTCTTCATGACTGTCTTGGTGTGTTTGGACCATGATAGTTTGTTGGTGATGTGGACACCAAGGAACTTTAAACTCTTGACCCACTCCACTACAGCCCCGTCGATGTGAATGGGGGCGTGTTCGGCCCTCCTTTTCCTGTTGTCCATGATCAGCTCCTTTGTCTTGCTCACGTTGAGGGGAGAGGTTGTTGTCCTGGCACCACACTGCCATGTCTCTGACCTCCTCCCTATAGGCTGTCTCATCGTTGTCGGTGATCAGGCCTACCACCGTTGTCGTCAGCGAACTTAATGATGGTGTTGGAGTCGTGCTTGGCCACGCAGTCGTGGGTGAACAGGGAGTACAGGAGGGGACTAAGCACGCACCCTTGAGGGGCCACTGTGTTGAGGAGCAGCGTGGCAGATGTTGTTGCCTACCTTTACCACCTGGGGGCGGCCCGTCAGGAAGTCCAGGATCGAGGGAGGTGTTTAGTCCCAGGGTCCTTAGCTTAGTGATGAGCTTTGTGGGCACTATGGTGTTGAACGCTGAGCTGTAGTCAATGAACAGCATTCACACATAGGTATTCCTTTTGTCCAGGTGGGAAAGGGCAGTGTGGAGTGCAATTGAGATTGCGTCATCTGTGGATCTGTTGGGGCGGTATGCAAATTGGAGTGGGTCTAGGGTTTCTGGGATAATGGTGTTGATGTGAGATGACCAGCCTTTCGAAGCACTTCATGGCTACAGACGTGAGTGCTACGGGTTGGTAGTCATTTAGGCAGGTTACCTTAGTGTTCTTGGGCACAGGTGGTCTGCTTGAAACATGTAGGTATTACAGACTCGGTCAGGGAGAGGTTGAAAATGTCAGTGAAGACACTTGCCAGTTGGTCCGCGCATGCTCTGAGAACACGTCCTGGTAATCCGTCTGGCCCTGTGGCCTGGTGAATGTTGACCTGCTTAAAAGTCTTACTCACATCAGCTACGGAGAGCTGTTTGGCTGCTACTGTCTGAGCAGAGATGAGATGGCATGACTTTAAGGAATTAAAAATAATAAAGTCATCAAATAAAAACAAAGTAATATACAAAACTGTCTTCCCCACGGTTTCCCAAACTCTGTAGTTATTTGAATCAGCTGTGTAGTGCTAGGGCAAAAACCAAAACGTGCACCCAGGGGGGACCCCAGGACCAAGTTTGGGAAACCCTGCATTAGCGGAGAAAAATATTCATCAGCAGAGCAGGGAGAAAAAAAAACCCCACACCAAAACATCTTCCTGCGGCCATGCATGGTTTATGAGTTTAGTACAACTGTCATACCCCATCAGAACCCCAAAAATAACATCTATTTCATTGTTTGTTTGTAAACAATTTAATTGTAAACAAACACTGTATAGCTTCAAACATGGTTAAAACTATAATTTTGATATCATGGATGGTCAGTCCTCGCATCCACAGCTCTGTCTATGAATTTGATTGCTTACATAACACTTAGGCCTATGTTATGTGTTTTTGGTGTGTTTTATTTGGATACATGTTATGTAACCAATCAAATTCATAGATGGAGCTATCGATGCAAGGACTGACCATCTATGAGAATCCCAGATTGTTGTTTGAATCCCAGATTGCCCCTTTAACTCTCTGCTTTTCCATGTGTTGTCTGAATGGCAGCTGTATTCATCTGGGATTATTTGCCAGAACTCGCCAGAGTTTGACGACTTGTTTGGTTTCTCTGAGGAAGATGTCCTTAAGGAGATAAAAAGGGGAAACAGACTGGTGAGGTTCTTTTATTGTTTCCCTTGGCTGTTTGAATGTTTCCCTTGGTTGTTTGAATGTTTCCCTTGGTTGTTTGATGGTTGTTTGAATGTTTCTCTTGGTTGTTTGATGGTTGTTTGAATGTTTCCCATGGTTGTTTGTATGTTTCCATTGGTTGTTTGAACGTTGTAGGAAGGAATTAAGTCTAACTGTTTTAGTCGGATCCTCTAGTTATGTCTGATGTTTAGTTATCTAATGTAGCCTTTACAAAGCAAACTGCTACTTACTGTACTGTTTCTCCAACCCAGATTTGCTACAGATGTAAGAAGAAGGGTGCCACGGTGGGATGTGAGGTGAAACGCTGTAAGAAGTCCTACCACTACCCCTGCGCTGTGCGAGACGGGGCCCAAAACGTTGATGACCATAGAGAAGAGAAGTTTACGTTAGTGCAAGGCACAACGTCTTTTCTTCCTAACAACTATGAAATATATTTTTGAACTTCATTGCAAATGAGAGGTGGTTCTTAACTGACCAACTTGAAGGGATACTTTGGGATTTTGGCAATGAAGCCCTTTATGTTATTTATTTATTTAGTAGAACGTTTGCGGGATGAAATCTTTTGAGATGCACCATCTCGTTTTCAAGTGTCCAAATGAAATAACCGAAACAAACAATACTTACAGTTGAAGTCGGAAGTTTACATACACTTATAGTGGGGAGAACAAGTATTTGATACACTGCCGATTTTGCAGGTTTTCCTACTTACAAAGCATGTAGAAGTCTGTAATTTGTATCATAGGTACACTTCAACTGTGAGAGACGGAATCTAAAACAAAAATCCAGAAAATCACATTGTATGATTTTTAAGTAATGAATTTGCATTTTATTGCATGACATAAGTATTTGATACATCAGAAAAGCAGAACTTAATATTTGGTACAGAAACCTTTGTTTGCAATTACAGAGATCATACGTTTCCTGTAGGTCTTGACAAGGTTTGCACACATTGCAGCAGGGATTTTGGCCCACTCCTCCATACAGACCTTCTCCAGATCCTTCAGGTTTCGGGGCTGTCGCTGGACAATACGGACTTTCAGCTCCCTCCAAAGATTTTCTATTGGGTTCAGGTCTGGAGACTGGCTAGGCCACTCCAGGACCTTGAGATGCTTCTTACGGAGCCACTCCTTAGTTGCCCTGGCTGTGTGTTTCGGGTCGTTGTCATGCTGGAAGACCCAACCACGACCCATCTTCAATGCTCTTACTGAGGGAAGGAGGTTGTTGGCCAAGATCTCGCGATACATGGCCCCATCCATCCTCCCCTCAATACGGTGCCGTCGTCCTGTCCCCTTTGCAGAAAAGCATCCCCAAAGAATGATGTTTCCACCTCCATTCTTCACGGTTGGGATGGTGTTCTTGGGGTTGTACTCATCCTTCTTCTTCCTCCAAACACGGTGAGTGGAGTTTAGACCAAAACGCTCAATTTTTGTCTCATCAGACCACATGACCTTCTCCCATTCCTCCTCTGGATCATCCAGATGGTCATTGGCAAACTTCAGACGGGCCTGGACATGCGCTGGCTTGAGCAGGGGGACCTTGCGTGCGCTGCAGGATTTTAATCCATGACGGCGTAGTATGTTACTAATGGTTTTCTTTGAGACTGTGGTCCCAGCTCTCTTCAGGTCATTGACCAGGTCCTGCCGTGTAGTTCTGGGCTGATCCCTCACCTTCCTCATGATCATTGATGCCCCACAAGGTGAGATCTTGCATGGAGCCCCAGACCGAGGGTGATTGACCGTCATCTTGAACTTCTTCCATTTTCTAATAATTGCGCCAACAGTTGTTGCCTTCTCACCAAGCTGCTTGCCTATTGTCCTGTAGCCCATCCCAGCCTTGTGCAGGTCTACAATTGTATCCCTGATGTCCTTACACAGCTCTCTGGTCTTGGCCATTGTGGAGAGGTTGGAGTCTGTTTGATTGAGTGTGTGGACAGGTGTCTTTTATACAGGTAACGAGTTCAAACAGGTGCAGTTAATACAGGTAATGAGTGGAGAACAGGAGGGCTTCTTAAAGAAAAACTAACAGGTCTGTGAGAGCCGGAATTCTTACTGGTTGGTAGGTGATCAAATACTTATGTCATGCAATAAAATGCAAATTAATTACTTAAAAATCATACAATGTGATTTTCTGGATTTTTGTAGATTCTGTCTCTCACAGTTGAAGTGTACCTATGATAAAAAATTACAGACCTCTACATGCTTTGTAAGTAGGAAAACCTGCAAAATCGTCAGTGTATCAAATACTTGTTCTCCCCACTGTAGGTTGGAGTCATTAAAACTTGTTTTTCAACCACTCCACACTTTTCTTGTTAACAAACTATAGTTTTGGCAAGTCAGTTAGGACATCTACTTTGTAACACAAGTAATTTTTCCTACCTTCAAACTCAGTGCCTCTTTGCTTGACATCATGGGGAAATCAAAAGAGACCTCAGAAAAAGAATTGTAGACCTCCACAAGTCTGGTTCATCCTTGGGAGCAATTTCCAAACGCCTGAAGGTACCACGTTCATCTATACAAACAATAGTACGCAAGTATAAACACCATGGGACAACGCAGCCGTCATACCGCTCAGGAAGGAGACGCGTTCTGTCTCCTAGAGATGAACGTACTTTGGTGCGAAAAGTGCAAATCAATCCCAGAACAACAGCAAAGGACCTTGTGAAGATGCTGGAGGAAACAGGTACAAAAGTATCTATATCCACAGCAAAACGAGTCCTATATCGTCATAACCTGAAAGGCCACCCCGCAAGGAAGAAGTCACTGCTCCAAAACCGCCATAAAAAAGCCAGACTACGGTTTGCAACTGCACATGGGGACAAAGATCGTACTTTTTGGAGAAATGTCCTCTGGTCTGATTAAACAAAAATAGAACTGTTTGGCCATAATGACAATCGTTATGTTTGGAGGAAAAAGGGGGACGCTTGCAAGCCGAAGAACACCATCCCAACCGTGAAGCAAGGGGGTGGCAGCATCATAAATTAAAATAAAATAGCACCTGTGGGGGTGCTTGGCTGCAGGAGGGACTGGTGCACTTCACAAAATAGATGGCATCACGAGGAAGGAAAATTATGTGGATAAATTGAAGCAACATCTCAAGACATCAGTCAGGAAGTTAAAGCTTGGTCGCAAATGGGTCTTCCAAATGGACAATGACCTCAAGCATACTTCCAAAGTAGTGGCAAAATGGCTTAAGGACAACAAAGTCAAGGTATTGGAGTGGCCATCACAAAGCCCTGACCTCAATCCTATAGAACATTTGTGGGCAGAACTGAAAAAGCGTGTGCGAGTAAGGAGGCCTACAAACCTGACTCGGTTACACCAGCTCTGTCAGGAGAAATGCGCCAAAATTCACCCAACTTATTGTGGGAAGCTTGTGGAAGGCTACCCGAAACGTTTGACCCAAGTTAAACAATTTAAAGGCAATTCTACCAAATACTAATTGAGTGTATGTAAATATCTGACCCACTGGGAATTTGATGAAAGAAATAAAAGCTGAAATAAATAATTCTCTACTATTACTCTGACATTTCACATTCTTAAAATAAAGTGGTGATCCTAACTGACCTAAGACAGGGAATTTTTACTAGGATAAATGTCAGGAATTGTGAAAAACTAAGTTTAAATGTATTTGGCTAAGGTCTATGTAAACTTCCAACTTCAACTGTATCTACTTCCCCAGAGTCAGATGAAGTCATGGATACAATTTTTAGTGCAATTTGAAGGAAGTTGCAAACTAACGTTAGAGCAATTGATAACTAGGGTTAGCGCATTGAGTTACATTTTTACATAACATTTTTTAGTCATTTAGCATACGCTCTTATCCAGAGCGACTTACAGTTAGTGAGTGCATACATTTTTCATACTGGCCTCCCGTGAGAATCGAACCCACAACCCTGGCGTTGCAAACGCCATGCTCTACCAACTGAGCTACACGGGGCCTGAGTTACCATAGACTTCCAGTCATTGCGCTAACGCTAGTTAGCATTGGCTAGCAAAACTACCTCTAACTTCCTTCATACTGGATGCAGAGACATAAAAATGGTATCCATGAGTTCATCTAACTCTGGGGAAGTAGAGGTCATGACCATGTTATTGAATGGGGCTCTATGACTGTATCTCTGTGTTTTACAGGTTGTACTGTCAGAAGCATCATCCGGAGATAGCAGGTGAGGCGGCTGTTAGGAGTTTTATGTGTCCATCTGGTTCATGCCTGTAGGCTACCTGAGTAACTGTTACTATAGCAGAAATCAATGAGTTGTCATTCCCAATATATATCTGGATGTGTTTAGTTGATTAAATACCTATTAGTCCATCAGGGCAAATCTTCCTGGCTTTGTACACAAACACGCTGCCTCTGCCGGTCCAACTTGCAGTTCCAGCAAAAAGCTATAAGTTAATGAGGTGCTTCTTTTACTTTTTGTTGAGGGTTGTTTCTGTCTCAACACAGCAACCAATGGAACAGTGAGTAGAGCATTGTCTTTCAACGGGGATTCAAACACAGAGGTGAACAACAATGGAGAAACGTCACCCAAGGTCTGTGTTCCACTGATTGTACTGTAATAACACACATACAGGACAATTATGGAATGGATAGTTAACAGCTAGGCCTATATATGACTGATTACCTGGTCACTATCCCCGTCCGCTGGCCATCATTGAACCACATCATCCAGCTAAAGGCTGAGAAGCAAACACAACTAAATTAATCAATTTCCGTTCCCATTTCCAGCTGTTTTGTCTCGTCTGTGAGAAGAAAGAGGAAAGCGTCAGTCTAGAACACATCGATAGTGGCATTGTCAAGTGAGTATGAGGAGGAGTTTTTAATTCCAAAACCATTATCTTTGCTTTTTCATTTCTATCATTGATGTCAGTACAGTGCTTTATTATGTAGTTGTGAGAGCCTGGCGTGTCTGTCTCTGTCACTTAGGCCATATTGTGAAAAGCATGAACTACAGTCGTTGCAGAAAGAGCTGGATGGTAAGTAATTTATCTCCAATGACTCACACCAACATGGACTTGACTTCTCCTTTGGTTGTGTTTCCATGTAGTTTAAAGATCAGATTTATAGTTTAGAAATGTATGTTTCAATTCTAAAGGACTTGATGCAGTGGCAGGACCCTCATCTCACAATAGTGACTCCAACATGTCTAGTAAACGACGGCAGAAACAAACACCCAAGGTGTGTATTTAGCTGTTGAGAAGGGATGTAAACTCAGCAAAAAAAGAAGTGTCCCTTTTTGAGGACCCTGTCTTTCAATGATAATTCGTAAAAATCCAAATAACTTCACAGATCTTCATTGTAAAGGGTTTAAACACTGTTTCCCATGCTTGTTCAATGAACCATAAACAATTAATGAACATGCACCTGTGGAACGGTCGTTAAGACACTAACAGCTTACAGACGGTAGGCAATTAAGGTCACAGTTATGAAAACTTAGGACACTAAAGAGGCTTTTCTACTGACTCTGAAAAACACCAAAAGAAAGATGCCCAGGGTCCCTGCTCATCTGCGTGAATGTGCCTGAGGACTGCAGATGTGGCCAGGGCAATAAATTGCAATGTCCGTACTGTGAGATGCCTAAGACAGCACTACAGGGAGACAGGACGGACAGCTGATCGTCCTCGCAGTGGCAGACCACGTGTAACAACACCTGCACAGGATCGGTACATCCGAACATCACACCTGCGGGACAGGTACAGGATGGCAACAACAACTGCCCAAGTTACACCAGGAACGCACAATCCCTCCATCAGTGCTCAGACTGTCCGCAATAGGCTGAGAGAGGCTAGACTGAGGGCTTGAAGGCCTGTTGTAAGGCAGGTCCTCACCAGACATCACGGGCAACAACGTCGCCTATGGGCACAAACCCACCGTCGCTGGACCAGACAGGACTGGCAAAAAGTGCTCTTCACTGACGAGTCGCGGTTTTGTCTCACCAGGGGTGATGGTCGGATTCACATTTATCGTCAAAGGAATGAGCGGGATCGATTTGGAGGTGGAGGGTCCGTCATGGTCTGGGGCGGTGTGTCACAGCATCATCGGACTGAGCTTGTTGTCATTGCAGGCAATCTCAACACTGTGCATTACAGGGAAGACATCCTGCTCCCTCATGTGGTACCCTTCCTGCAGGCTCATCCTGACATGACCCTCCAGCATGACAATGCCACCAGCCATACTGCTCGTTCTGTGCGTGATTTCCTGCAAGACAGGAATGTCAGTGTTCTGCCATGGCCAGCGACGAGCCCGGATCGCAATCCCATTGAGCACGTCTTGGACCTGTTGGATCGGTGGGTGAGGGCTAGGGCCATTCCCCCCAGAAATGTCCAGGAACTTGCAGGTGCCTTGGTGGAAGAGTGGGGTAACATCTCACAGCAAGAAGTGGCAAATCTGGTGCAGTCCATGAGGAGGAGATGCACTGCAGTACTTAATGCAGCTGGTGGCCACACCAGATACTGATTCAGGGACACATTATTCCACTTCTGTTAGTCACATGTCTGTGGAACTTGTTCAGTTTATGTCTCAGTTGTTGAATCTTGTTATGTTCATACAAATGTTTCCACATGTTAAATTTGCTGAAAATAAACGCAGTTGACAGTGAGAGGACGTTTTCTTTTTTTGCTGAGTTTATATCTTCAGTAAAGAAAGTCACGTAATATGCTCATGTAATCATATATGGTAATATAATAGTGAATCGTAATCTCTTTGCTTTTGCTGTTGAAACAGAGACGGTTGAGCTCCTCTAGCACGTAAGTATGGAATTCATGTATGCATGTCATAGTTGGGTGGACTGTTTCTTGGATGCTGTCCAGTTGACCTAGTCCATGAGCTAGGGGGTTCGGTTTGGGGTGACAATTATGTCTCATAGTGATTTTATTTGATGTCCCTAAAGTAGGAAAATGTGTGATAGCATTCCAGCAATGGTAGCTTTCTGTGTGTTAACACTTTATTCAATCCTTCCATCCCATTCATCTTTGCTCCTTAATTTCTATCATTGATGTCAGTACAGTGCTTTATTATGTAGTTGTGAGAGCCTGGCGTGTCTGTCTCTGTCACTTAGGCCATATTGTGAAAAGCATGAACTACAGTCGTTGCAGAAAGAGCTGGATGGTAAGTAATTTATCTCCAATGACTCACACCAACATGGACTTGACTTCTCCTTTGGTTGTTTCCTTGTAGTTTAAAGATCAGATTTGTAATTTAGAAATGTATGTTTCAATTCTAAAGGACTTGATGCAGTGGCAGGACCCTCATATCACAATAGTGACTCCAACATGTCTAGTAAACGACGGCAGAAACAAACACCCAAGGTGTGTATTTAGCTGTTGAGAAGGGATGCATATCTTCAGTAAAGAAAATCACGTAATATGCTCATGTAATCATATATGGTAATATCACAGTGAACTGCAATCTCTTTGCTTTTGCTGTTGAAACAGAGACGGTTGAGCCCATCTAGCACGTAAGTATTGAATTCATGTATGCATGTCATAATTGGGTGGTCTGTTTCTTTGATGCTGACCAGCCCTGTTCTGTTTCACGTTTTGAGTGCATGTAGCTTTATTAACATTCTTTGCTGTCAAAAAGTTAAATATGTAAATATGTCTCTTTAATTCTCTGGGCACTATTTTTCTGAACACTGCTCAAGTTGTTACTTTTTTCTGTCACAGACAGGAAGTGAAATCATCAAAAAAGAGGATACAGGAGGATTTCTCAGACTCAGGTTACTTTATTGTTCCAGTAGGCTCCCTTTTCATTATCTTGATTATTGTCGATTTATATTTATACTGAAAATATATATATAAATGCAACAATTTCAATGTTTTATTGAGTAACAGTTCATATAAGGAAATCAGTCAAAACTTGAGCAAATTTTTGTGGCCTTTTATTGTCCCCAGCACAAGGTGCACTTGTGTAATGATCATGCTGTTTAATCAGCTTCTTGATATACCACACCTGCCAGCTGGATGTATTATCTTGGCAAAGGAGAAATGCTCACTAACAGGGATGTAAACACATTTGTACACAAAATATGAGAGAAATAAGCTTTTTGTGCATATGAAATATTTCTGGGATCTTTTATTTCAGCTCAAGAAACATGGAACCAACACTTTACATGTTGCATTTATATTTTTGTTTTTACAAAGACATCAGTGATGCATTGCATTGATTAGTATTTTTGTATGTTCTGTAACAGACGGAGATGAGAATGGAATTGACATGGAGTTAGCCCCTTTGGAGTCTGATCTAGAAGACAGTGTCAACTCTGAACACAGGTAATGGTGATGGTGCTCTAGTCTGGTGTGAATAAAACTACTTTCATGTTTAGTCTGATGGGCATAAAAACCCAATCATGAGACATGTTATCTTTTCAGTGTTGAGGCGGTTCCTGTGTAGGCCAAATATTATAGAAAGGGAGGGAGGGAGATAACAGTTGCCTGCCTCTGTAGTGTACAGTGACGTTAGAAAAATAATATTGCTCTCTTACTTCACAGAAATCATGCTGAGGCTCCCACCACAGGTAAACATGTCAGGGTACACATTTACACACAACACATTGCCAGGAGGTTTAATATCAAACCTGATAATATCAAAACCACTGTTTTCCGCAGGAAGTCAGCCAGAACCTGAAAACGGAGACAATAGCGATAGTGATACAGTCATAGACTCAGTGAGTTACACAACACTCTTGACTATTCTTATCCAACACTTCCTGTGGCATTACTGTGTCTCTGTCCTGGTCCTAAACCATTGGTTTGATCATTACTGTGTCTCTGTCCTGGTCCTAAACCATTGGTTTGATCATTACTGTGTCTCTGTCCTGGTCCTAAACCATTGGTTTGATCATTACTGTGTCTCTGTCCTGGTCCTAAACCATTGGTTTGATCATTACTGTGTCTCTGTCTTGGTCCTAAACCATTGGTTTGATCATTACTGTGTCTCTGTCCTGGTCCTAAACCATTGGTTTGATCATTACTGAGTCTCTGTCCTGGTCCTAAACCATTGGTTTGATCATTACTGTGTCTCTGTCTTGGTCCTAAACCATTGGTTTGATCATTATTTGGTTTGATTGACCATTGGAATGATCATCATTTGGGGTCCCGAGTGGCGCAGCGGTCTAAGGCACTGCATCTCAGTGCTTGAGGCGTCACTACAGACCCCCTCGTTCGATTCCAGGCTGTATCACAACCGGCCGTGATTGGGAGTCCCATAGGGCGGCGCACAATTGGCCCAGCGTCGTCCAGGTTTGGCCGGTGTAGGCCGTCATTGTAAATAAGAATTTGTTCTTAACTGATTTGCCTAGTTAAATAAAATTTAAATAAAATACAATTATTGTGTCTCTATCCAGGACGCTGTGTCCCAGAGTCTGTTGCTGCCAGTGGCGTCTGAAGAACCCTCTCAGGGCACAAACCTCTCAGGTAGATACTCACCTCCTACACTCCTTACTTACTATCCCTACTGATCAGTTTAGTCTTGGAAAAGCTTTTGATAATGTAGCCGTTTTCTATTCTCTCCTCTCAGTGTGCAGTTCTGAGCCGTGTGAACCAGGACAAGCCGCAGAACCTGTCCTCTCTGGTCGACACGGCAGCTCTCTCACACTTGGTCCTGCTCACGATCCAATCTCATCCGTCCACTCTGGTCCACTCATTGTCACCAGCACACCTACTCGTACCAGTCCACCAGTCTCACACGTCCCCCCTGGTTGCTGTTTCATCCCTGTGTCCTCTCCACCTTCTCCCTCTCCACACTCTGTCTCCAAACGTCCTCCGGCTGGGCCTGGAGGCCTGGGTTCACCTGTTGGTTCTGACTCTGAAGCCAGCCGAGTGTTCTGGAGTAGGTGTAACGAAGCAGGCTGTACAGAGTCCATCTTCAACACCTTCATCTCTGACATGGTCAGCATCTCCAATAGGATCCTGTCGAATAAGGCCAGTCAGGAGGGTGAGTGGCACGGTTGGGTGGTATAAAAAAAAAAACTTGCCTCACCAATGAATCCCTGTTGGGAGCATATTATCAGAATTGCTGACTTTATTTCTTGCCTTCTCTCGTTTTCAGATTTTGATCTCTCTCTGAGAGTGATGGAGGCTTCTGGAAAATTATCACAGATGCTCTCAGAGCAGGAGAGAGGTGAGAATTGGTGGGTTAATAACAGGTGTACAGGAGTTTGTAGCATTGTGTGAATGTTAAGGCTTCTTATTTTTGAAAGCTTGTGAAATCTAAATCTAATATATTCTCCCTCCTTTGTTCAGAGTTTGAGAAGAAGCTAAATAAGCTAGAGAGAGCTACAGCAGCCATAAGGGATGCCAGGTCAGCCCTGAAGCGATAAACAGCCCTGCCAGATAAATGACAACCATAATCCACCTTCCCTCATTCAGTTCATTGGCATCACAAGATTTTATAGGGTGCTTTATGCAGCAATATATTGAGAATTTGATTTCGCAATAGTTTTTGAAGAACGCGTTGTTCCACTTTCTTACCTTGTCAATATCATAATCCCCACCCAAAAGTACTTTTATATTGTATGTTCAACCTCTGAGACCGGGAACCAATTGTGAAACAAGAAGAGGCTGCCATTTTGCTTGCCAGTAGCAAAAGGAAGTTTTACCTTTAAACAATTTATAAATGTTTATATAAATATATATATATACAGTGAGGGAAAAAAGTATTTGATCCCCTGCTGATTTTGTATGTTTGTCCACTGACAAAGAAATGATCTGTCTATAGTTTTTATGGTAGGTTTATTTGAACAGTGAGAGACAAAATAACAACAAAAAAATCCAGAAAAACGCATGGCAAAAATGTTATAAATTGATTTGCATTTTAATTAGGGAAATAAGTATTTGACCCCCCTCTCAATCAGAAAGATTTCTGGCTCCCAGGTGTATTTTATACAGGTAACGAGCTGAGATTAGGAGCACACTCTTAAAGGGAGTGCTCCTAATCTCAGTTTGTTACCTGTATAAAAGACACCTGTCCACAGAAGCAATCAATCAAATCAGATTCCAAACTCTCCACCATGGCCAAGACCAAAGAGCTCTCCAAGGATGTCAGGGACAAGATTGTAGACCTACACAAGGCTGGAATGGGCTACAAGACCATCGCCAAGCAGCTTGGTGAGAAGGTGACAACAGTTGGTGCGATTATTCGCAAATGGAAGAAACACAAAATAACTGTCAATCTCCCTCGGCCTGGGGCTCCATGCAAGATCTCACCTCGTGGAGTTGCAATGATCACGAGAACGGTGCGGAATCAGCTCAGAATTACACGGGAGGATCTTGTCAATGATCTCAAGGCAGCTGGGACCATAGTCACCAAGAAAACAATTGGTAACACACTACGCCGTCAAGGACTGAAATCCTGCAGCGCCCGCAAGGTCCCCCTGTTCAAGAAAGCACATATGCAGGCCGTCTGAAATTTGCCAATGAAACATCTGAATGATTCAGAGGAGAACTGGGTGAAAGTGTTGTGGTAAGATGAGACCAAAATCGAGCTCTTTGGCATCAACTCAACTCGCCGTGTTTGTAGGAGGAGGAATGCTGCCTATGACCCCAAGAACACCATCCCCACCGTCAAACATGGAGGTGGAAACATTATGCTTTGAGGGTGTTTTTCTGCTAAGGGGACAGGACAACTTCACCGCATCAAAGGGACGATGGACGGGGCCATGTACCGTCAAATCTTGGGTGAGAACCTCCTTCCCTCAGCCAGGGCATTGAACATGGGTCGTGGATGGGTATTCCAGCATGACAATGACCCAAAACTCACGGCCAAGGCAACAAAGGAGTGGCTCAAGAAGAAGCACATTAAAGTCCTGGAGTGGCCTAGCCAGTCTCCAGACCTTAATCCCATAGAAAATATGTGGAGGAAGCTGAAGGTTAGAGTTGCCAAAAGTCAGCCTCGAAACCTTAATGACTTGGAGAAGATCTGCAAAGAGGAGTGGGACAACATCCCTCCTGAGATGTCTGCAAACCTGGTGGCCAACTACAAGAAACGTCTGACCTCTGTGATTGCCAACAAGGGTTTTGCCACCAAGTACTAAGTAATGTTTTTCAGAGGGGTCAAATACTTATTTCCCTCATTAAAATGCAAATAAATTTATAATATTTTTGATATGCGTTTTTCTGGATTTTGTTGTTGTTATTCTGTCTCTCACTGTTCAAATAAACCTACCATTAAAATTATAGACTGATCATGTCTTTGTCAGTGGGCAACCATACAAAATCAGCAGGGGATCAAATACTTTTTTCCCTCACTGTATATATATATTTAATACATCCTAAAAAGTGCTGATAGCAAGTATACAGAACATTAAGAACACCTGCTCTTTCCATGACAGACTGACCAGGTGAATGCTATGATCCCTTATTGATGTCACTTGTTAAATCCACTTCAATCAGTGTAGATGAAGGAGAGGAGACAGGTTAAAGAAGGATTTTTAAGCCTTGAGACAATTGAGACATGGATTGTGTGTGCCATTGACAGTGAATCTGCAAGACAAAAGATTTTAGTGCCTTTGAACTGGGTATGGTAGTAGGTGCCAGGCGCACTGGTTTGTGTCAAGAACTGCAGCGCTGCTGGGTTTTTCACACTCAAAAGTTTCCCGTGTGTATCAAGAATGGTCCACCACCCACAGGACTGCCAGCCAACTTGACACAACTGTGGGAATCATTTGGGTGAACATGGGCCAACATCCCTGTGGAATGCTTTCAACACCTAGTTGAGTCCACGCCCTGACAAATTGAGGCTGTTCTGAGGGCAAAGGGGGGGTTGCAACTCAGTATTAGGAAGGTGTTCCACATGTTTGGTATACTCAGTGTATATTTGTATGTGAAATTGTAGCTCAGTTGGTAGAGCGTGGCGCTTGCAACGCCAGGGTTGTGGGTTTGTTTCCCACGGGGGGCCAGTATGAAAAATGTATGCACTCACTAACTGTAAGTCGCTCTGGATAAGAGCATCTGCTAAATGACTAAAATGTAAAATGTACCTCTTAAAGCATTCATTTCAATCATTTTTATATCCTGGCCTAAAGCTTTTAACATCTTCTGTACTTAAAACTTCTGATCTACATGATTAGGGTTTAGAGTTATTCCTAAATCATATGGGTAGGAAAAACCTGCATGTCTTTAACTGCTCATCCACTCTTTTGTTAACTGCACTGTTACATGTTAGGTTGGCACACTTTTTATTCATTTTGTAATAAATGAAGAACCAAACTTGTCCGTGGCAGATTGGAGTTTCCCTCATTCTATCTTGTTCTTAGGTGATAAAAAACACCACACTTGGATTTGATCCATGGACCTTCTGCATGGCAACCGGCATGTGTATTCACCCCCTTTGTGGTCCTCTGTAGCTCAGCTGGTAGAGCACGGCGCTTGTAACGCCAAGGTAGTGGGTTCGATCCCCGGGACCACCCATACACAAAAAAATGTATGCACGCATGACTGTAAGTCGCTTTGGATAAAAGCGTCTGCTAAATGGCATATTATTATTATATGTTACACCCTCCACCCTCACTATTACATCATGCTGTAAGCCTGGTGTTTTAGGCCAATCAGATAAGCTCTGAAAAAGATCTGATGCGATTGGACAAAAGACCAATTAGTGAAAGAATATTAAAATTGTGCTGCCTGTCTAAACATGCAATCCACCCTCATATTTTGACTGGGATTCAATCATGTTTGCAGACAAGCAGCTTTCAAAGGCAATGTTACCATGTTCCAGGACATTGGATTAAAGGTAAACGCTGCATACAGTGCCTTGCAGAAGTATTCATCCCCCTTGGCATTTTTCCTATTTTGTTGCATTACAACCTGTAATTTAAATGGATTTTTATTTGGATTTCATGTAATGGAAATACACAAAATAGTCCAAATTGGTGAAGTGAAATTTAAAAAATAACTTGTTTCAAAAAATTCTAAAAAATAAATAACGGAAAAGTGGTGCGTGCATATGTATTCACCCCCTTTGCAATGAAGCCCCTAAATAAGATCTGGTGCAACCAATTACCTTCAGAAGTCACACAATTAGTTAAATAAAGTCCATCTGTGTGCAATCTAAGTGTCACATGATCTCAGTATATATACACCTGTTCTGAAAGGCCCCAGAGTCTGCAACACCACTAAGCAAGGGGCACCACCAAGCAAGCGGCACCATAAAGACCAAGGAGCTCTCCAAACAAATCAGGGACAAAGTTGTGTAGAAGTACAGATCAGGGTTGTGTTATAAAAAATATCCAAAACTTTGAACATCCCAGGGAGCACCATTAAATCCATTATTTAAAAAATGGAAAGAATATGGCACCACAACAAACCTGCCGTGAGGGCCGCCCACCAAAACTCACAGACCAGGCAAGGAGGGCATTAATCAGAGGCAACAAAGATACCAAAGAAAGAAAAAAATAAGCAAACACGTTTGGTGTTCGCCAAAAGGCATGTTGGAGACTCCCCAAACATATAGAAGAAGGTACTCTGGTCAGATGAGACTAAAATTGAGCTTTTTGGCCATCAAGGAAAACACTATGTCTGGCACTAACCCAACACCTCTCATCACCCCAAGAACACCATCCCCACAGTGAAGCATGGTGGTGGCAGCATCATGCTGTGGGGATGATTTTCATCGGCAGGGACCGGGAAACTGGTCAGAATTGAAGGAATGATGGATGGCGCTAAATACAGGGAAATTCTTGAAGGAAACCTGTTTCAGTCTTCCAGAGATTTGAGACTGGGACGGAGGTTCACCTTCCAGCAGGACAATGACCCTAAGCATACTGCTAAAGCAACACTCGAGTGGTTTAAGGGGAAACATTTAAATGTCTTGGAATGGCCTAGTCAAAGCCCAGACCTCAATCCAATTGAGAATCTGTGGTATGACTTAAAGATTGCTGTACACCAGCGGAACCCATCCAACTTGAAGGAGCTGGAGAAGTTTTTCCTTGAAGAATGGGCAAAAATCCCAGTGGCTACATGTGCCAAGCTTATAGAGACATACCCCAAAAGACTTGAAGCTGCAATTGCTGCAAAAGGTAGCTCTACAAAGTATTGACTTTGGGGGGGTGAATAGTTATGCACGCTCAAGTTCTGTTTTTTTGTCTTATTTCTTGTTTGTTTCACAAAATATATTTTGCATCTTCAAAGTG